TAGATACCAATCATAGATTGCAGGACCGGTGCTGAAGTGGAAGGAAATATTTTTTAAAAATTTTGAAAAAAGGTTTTCTTCTTAGATGGTGCTTATTTACAGTCTAAAACGAATTTTATGATTTTTTTCATTAAATTCCACTTTAAACTTCAATAAATAATACAATTTTGTACATATAATTGAATGTTATGCTACTATTTACAAAAATAAAATTTGAAATCCAATAAAAAATAAGTTCTCTATAATTTTTTCAATTCACAAATGTGATTTTTCCCTCATGATAAGATCAAAATGGCCATAGCAGATAAAGGGTTAAGAAGAATGCTGCAAATAGTGCGGAATAAGGAGAAAAGTAATAAATGTGTAATGATACAAGCCAACATGATGACATCAAGAAAATAAGAAAGAGACAAACCTCATATGCCATGTAATGAGGAAAGAAAAGTAACAACCAACAAGATAGAAGCAAAGGAAGACAACAGTAAAGATGCTTGATGGACTAAGAAAATGGTTATGAACCAATAATAACAAACAATTGTTGAATAATGCCAGGGACAGAAAGAAATGGAAAGTTATGAATGTCAATTCCTGCATACAAGCATGACATTTGAGAAGAATAGAATCTTCTTTACACTATTTTTTTTTAGCTACAGAATTTTTTTTTAAAGCTGAGATTCATTTTTATGACAGTAACTGTATAAACCAACTTGTACATTCAGATGAGCAGAAGTTTAAAAACAAATTGATAAGTGTCTTGTTTACACACTTTCTTGGAGCCTTTTCTCATTGCCTCCATTCCCTGGGTCTGTGCACACACCATTACATGGACGACTGGTTACTACTGGCAGAATGTCACATCCAGATTCTATTTTCCGTTGGATTTGCTCTCAGTTCTGGACACTGATGATCAATGTGTTTGCCACTCACTAGAACACTCAACTACTGGCATTTTGGTCTTCGGTACCTAACCCTCTGGCATTGACAATTGATGCTTTCAGTCAAGACTGTACTGGATTGCACCTATATGCCTACCCACCAATTTATCTGTTACCCAGAGTTCTAGCAAATGTTTCGTTCTACCCATTGTCACTTTCTGTTGGTAGCACCAGATTGGCTGGTTCAACCCTGGTTTTTGCTTCAGCGTTATCTTCAGGAGTGCGTACTTCTTCCTCTTTGGCCTTCTTTGTTGAGGTAGCCATGATCCAACATCTTACACCCATCCGTTCCAAAGCTCAAGCTTTATGTGTGGAGGTTCTGTGGTCCTTAGCATGGCATCAGGGATTAAGTTCAAAGGTTTCCATGTACCTGTCTCAGTCTGTGCATCATCCCATGATGGACATTCATCAATGAAAATAGCACACATATAGGCAATGGTGTATTGTGAGGAGGTTAAACCCACTTCGTTCAGATGAGCTAACCATAGCTCAGTTTTTGACTTGGTTCTTTGACAGAGGTATGTTTTGGAAGTTAACATTTTCTTAAATTGAAAATGTATTTCCAATAATACTTACCTCCCACCCTTTCTCCCCACTAAGAGCTGGTGTTAGAGACTGTGGATTGAGCCAGTCTTGAAAAATTGATAATATTATCGGAAGAAGGTACTTATATACAGTACCAAGATAAATGGTGCATTGACATAGGGGGAGAGAGAATCATGAGATAGATATCACCCAGGGTAATTAAGTGGGAAATAAACATACTGGAGCAAGTGAGCTTAGATGGGCAAAATAAGAAATCCTATCAGTCAAGTAATAGCTGTAGTGTGAAAAAGTTCTATTATTGGAAATACATCTTTGATCTAAGAAAATTTTAACTTATGTTTTATATTGACTATTTTAATTATGTAGTTTACGCTGAGCCAATGACCACAATCTGGAAGACAAGTGACTCAACATAACTTGTGTTAGAGTCAAATAAGATGGTAACTTTGAAAACACAGTGTAGTAGAATGTTAACAGACAAAAATAGGATAAATTAAACTATATTGTGATTGAATAGTCATTTATATTGGAATTTGTTAATTCTTGCCTGTGCTATTATGTATGGATGATGCAAATGCCATCTCTGCTATCTTGTTTGCATTGTTTTTGAAAGATTGATATTAGCCATCCCTACATTTACTTCCTTTTTTTAATAGTTTTTTCTTTACTTTTTTTGCTTATCTTTATTATTCCCCTCTGCACGGGCATCCTTTACTGCACTTGTCATGAGGTTTTTAATGACTTACATTCAAAATTTAATTTCACTACTTTTTGTTTATGTTATACCAATTAGTATAGCTTAAAATCATAGCTAGTAATCCATATTTTAATAGTATATAAGTTTAAGTTCTTAACTCTATCTCTAGAGCAAATACAAGCTTTGGACAGAGCAAAAGTGGCCACAATTTCTTCTATCAAATTGGTGCTTGGATTGAAGATATTTTATTAATGGAAGTAGCTATAGTTTTATATTGCATATATAAGGCATTCAAAATGTGGGATTGATCGTGAAATGGAACAAGACGTACAAGTTGATGTACCAACAGCTCGTCCAAGCAAGAAAACAGGCAAGCCAATATATCAGCTTTTGTCCAAGTAGGAAAATGAGCACACCAATATATTGGCTGCTTGGAGACAAAGAGTTAATTTTATAAGGCAATATTAAAAGAAATACTGAACTTCCCTTAGTGTGAGAAATATGACTTTTTTTCTAGGTATCCCCTATTCTATAATTTATTCACCACCCCTCCAATAAGTATGAATTTTAATATATATTACTCAATATCAAATCGTCATTGCTCAGACTAAGCATAATTTTTATAGCTTTCAATCTTGTTTGGTTACAGAACCATCAAATAGAAAATCAGACCCCTCTTGCCACACTCACCTGTCACATTTTCTCCTTTCAGCATTTGTTAATAGTTCTCTCTTATGTTTAATATTATATTATTTATAACCAATAGAAAGCCAAAGTTTTCATCTAGCAAATGACATATTATGTTGTTTTCTGAACAAAGAATTGTCAAATTCTCTTTTAGTTCAAGCTTCGCTCCCACAGAAAACATATCAACTAGCTTAGATGAATTTGTAACAGCTCTTGTCGCATAGTTAGAAAGCCAGAAAAATTGTGATAGTTATGTGGCATTGTCTAGTTTTTGCATGTTGTTATTCTATGTTATTTGTTAATTAAATAAAGATTATTTAGTGCACTCGTACCATCAGTATATAAAAAAAAAAAGTAGAGTTAAGTGTCATTGACAGTCAACAGCAAAAAAAAGGAGGTCCAGGTAAGTACTTTATTTCTTGGATTTGTATTTAGGTTAGATTAGGTAAAATAAATAATAATAATATAAGATAAAATTTCATCAGCCACACATTAGCAGCTCGGAGTAGCATGTGAGTAATGTAATTCAATAGCTTAATGTGAGCCCCACGTTCCCCAAGTGAATTACAGCTTATAATGGCATGAATAGCAGGTATTCATGGTTCAAAGGGAAATAAAGCAATAGAATTTAAGTATAAAAGTTGTATACTGTTTCTAGACTAAAGGTAGTTAGAATAAACATAAGTAGTTTCATTTTACAATTTGAAGTCATTCTAGAAAGAAAAAAAGGGTAATTTAGATTTATTTAGATTTTTTTTTAAAAGGTGGTTTAGTTGACCAACCTTATATAGAGTTAGGGTAGAGAAAATAACATATAAAATATAAAGTTTTACTGAAAACAAATGTTTGAAATGTACTTAGGAGGCTTTAGAAATTACACAAATGAAATTTGAGATTTTTGAGATGAAGACAAGTATTTTTAATCTTAACATGAAAATCACTTTGCACTTGGGCTAGTAAAAAAAAGACTTGATATATTCACGGATAAATCTTTATTAAAAATACTTCATTAAAAAATCTGATTTTTTGTGGACAAAAGACAAGTTTCTCAAAATTCTACCAAGTTTTATGAAGACACATACTGTATTAAAAGTTATAGTATAAATACTTAAGGAGTGCAACTGTGTATACAGACTCAGTATTTTATACTGAGCCCATTGTGAAAGTGTTATTACATTGTTTCAATAGACATAGGAAGGTTATACTTAGAACCAAGTTCTAAATACAATGAGGTTCCAAGAGTAATATTTATTGTTTATCTGTTATTGGCTGGTATTGCTTGTTTCACCCTGTACTTAAACTTTGTAAAGGAACACCAAATTTCTGTAAGAAAACTAACTTCAAAGGGCAATGATAATATAGTTTACACTAGAATTATGATTTGTTTGTTTTTAATTACTACTAGTTATTAATGATACTTATAGAAGCAGATACTCCATTTGAAACTATGTCATCTCGGTGAAATTGGTTGACACCATTGTTTTGGTTTATGAGTTGTGTAATAAAAGAAGATGAAGAGATTCAAACTTTTTGTTATGATATTTACAGACATTCCCAGAACTTGTGACTCAGTCATTACATATTGTTATAAAAGGAAACACTGCATAGTATTGTAAATAATGGTTGAAGACTGCTTGAATGGACAATGAAGAAAAACCTTCAAGCCGTCTCCAACCATTATTAGTCTCAAAGTGGGTTTCTCATCATCAAAATTAAAATAGTATTGTAAAGTTTTGATGACCTATTCAGGAAATATTTAAAATACCATCTCAATGAGCGGTCTGAGCCATCCCTACATAGACAGTGCTACTGCCTGCCTGACAAACCAAACACGGCACAACTTAAAGAATAAAAAAATGATTTTTAATTTTCATAAATAAATATTCTAGTATAAATGTTGAAGGGAAAATCTGACAATTTTCAACTTTCACAATAATAATTTTAGGTGATACAAATTTTAATTTAGTCTTTTTTTATTTCATAAAAAGTGATCATTATTTCAAAAGAATCCACAATTATATTTCACACTTTAATAAATTTTACAATTTGATAACTTATATGAGTTTTAATAACTGACATAGAAAAACACTGTACTAAACTTATAATTTATTTTTTTACACAATCTTTTCAACTAGGTGGCCATGCAAATGTGGATGATGAGGTTAATGGCTTTTCTTCAGATGTTCCAAGTAAGTTTTAGAAATTAATAAGCAATCTCTGACTCAATGGCAGAAGAAATGGTAGGGCATTTTTTAGGAACCATATCTGTTTAGTCTTTTTATCTGAAAATCTACAAGAATATGCATTATTTTATGAGGAATTCAGAGATGTATGCCAATTTATAATTGAATAACATCCCTAGAAGTTATGACTGGTTTTCATGTGGTTCTTTTTCGCTAATTCCTGTCAAGATGAACTAGATCAGATTCATAGCTAACCTGCAAATGTAATAAAAGATCTGGGGTGTTACAAGTGTAGCAAGTGTGGATGTGATCATGATGACACACCAGTTGCTCAAAAAGTTAGCTGTAAATGAGGTCATAGAAGCTTCAACCAAGGAGGTGCTATAAAATGCTGAAAGAGTAGTACATTTGTGTTCAGGAGCAGTAAACTTATTGATGTATCTAATGACTTGCCTTTAAATGGTGATGAGAGCAGAAGAATAATAATTCAACATTAAATAGGGAATGAATAGTGCAAAGATTTACTGGGTGAAGTGCAAGAATATTAAAGGATAACAGGAGAGAGGAGTACTAATATAATGGTGAAATAGCATGACTAGAGAATGCAGATGGTTCACTTTGGTAGGATAGAAATACCTTAACAACATCTCAGAGCAAAGAAAACAGCACAACAAAATGATCTTTGGATCTTGCCTTACAGAGCTATATACCTCAGTCTTGGGCTCCTAGATATGATGGAATACCCTAACATCTACTAAAATAATCATATTTTCAGCTGTTGAGTCAGAGATGCTTGCTAAAATCACTTAACTATGCTGTTAGCAAAATAGCTGGAATAATTTGTTTTTAAATTTACTAGAATATAGAATAAGTGCTATTTGGTTGTATTTTTGTGGCAAAACTACACTAATTAATGTCAATATGAATATATTTATTTTGTTTCCTCCAAGATAAATCTTCAGAGGTATGTTTTTATTTTTGATTTCCTTCTCATTGTTTATTTGTAGTTTAACTACCAAAATGAAATTAGCTGTGGGTCACACAAAACTGGATTATTGTAAACTTGCTGTAATTACTTGTAACACCAAATCTGAAAGTGACTTGAAATAATGATAACAGAAATTGTGAGAAACCATTAGTTTACTGAGTTATTAAGGTTTTTTTTTTGAGTGTGGAAAATATAATTCATGTTAATATTCTCATGTTGGTTAAAAAAAACATAAGAATTTAAGTTTGGATGAAATTATAGGTTTTATCAATTTTTAGTCAATTATAATAATAGAAAATTAGGTCTTCAGCTGTGTATCAATTATGTTTAGTCATTATTAATTGTTTTCACATATTACTCAGTGGATGATGAGTAAAATTATTTTGAGCAAAGAAATCACTAAAAATGATATTTAATTGATGTCATAAGGAGAGAGAGAGATCTACTTTCAAAGACATTTGTGGGATAAGTTTCACTAGAATTATAGAAGTACTTAATCTTCAGGAATATTTTACCTTAAAATATAAGTGTACAAATGTGGTATTTTCAGATTAACTAATTTTAGGGGAAGTATCACAAAGATTCAGTTTGTCATGGGAGAGTTGTGCAGGATAATCACATTAAATCTAAATTTAACAAATGACTTAAGATTTAGGCTAAGGAAATACAGAAACTGGACACATGATGTAAAGTGTATAACATTTGTTATTTATATCACAAAGTACAAAGAAAGTGTACGTTCTTGAGTAAGACAATGGATAATTATTTTCCTGCTGGAGTTGTGAATTAGTCAACAGTTGTAGTCTCTCAAGATGTATATCTGTTGAACTATTATTATCAATAATGAAGCAAAATTGTATGGATCTATATTAAATTTCATACTCCATACTAAAGAGGAAACCTCAATTTTACCCATGAGCCTCATCACATGACTGGTTATTCTCTTAAAACATGCAAGGGCAGTAACCTCTAAATATCTAAATACACACATATCCTATTGCATCTTCCTCTCAAACTGACAATTAATTTTGACTTAAACATTAAGACTGTCATTAGTCTCAAAACAGACGCTACATGTTTGAACATCCAATCACATCATTTTACAGGAGTGTAAAATCAAAATCAGTGCAAACCACACACATATATACACACACACACACAAAGTTGGCAAGTCTGAAAGTATGCAGTTGTTGTGATCTTTAAGTTCAGTGTGTAAACTAAGTAGTCACATGACCAATGTTTTTTTTTTATGTGTGATTTGATTAGATTTTAAATTGTGTACTTAAAAAATGTTGTGTTTTAATGATTTCTATTTCCATGAGTACTTTGGATTTTAGCATTTCATTATTTCTAACTTCACATTAACATAAAGACAAAACAACACATGAAAACTAAGAAGAAAAAAAACTTTTAAAATTCATTATTACCTAATACAAAAATACAATATTCCTAAGCAATGAAGTCATGAATTTCACTTTTACAACAAAACTTGTGGTAACTCTGAGATTTCTTAATGTATCCTCTCAAAAACTGGTAACAGATAATAACAGTTTTATAATCAAGTGTTTTTACAAAAAAATATATTATTTTTCTGTTATAAACAAATCAAGCGCAAGGTGATTTTCATTTTAAATATAAAAATACTTTTCCTCATATTTCATTTGCATAATCTCTAGAACCTCCTAAAAGGATATCAAAAGTTTTTTTAAGGTAAATGTTTATATTTTATTTTTCATTTTCTTTACCATATCACTAACTCTAACTATTATCATCAAAATATAATGCAATGAAATGATTAAAATTAGAAAATCAAAAACATACCTTTTAATTTTTTGTAGAATATCTTTAAAACTGTTGTTTTGCTTATAGTTGCAATTTTTGGTTTTATTCTTTTCACATATAGTTAATTTTTAATGTTTTATTTTCTTTCTTGTCTTTTTTCCACGTATTGTTCATCTCAACACAAGTCAATGGTACCCTTGAGGCATATTACAGTTTCTTTGGGAGACATGCATAATCTTTTGGCTAAATATTTGTTCAGTGCATAATATCGTAAGCCTTGAGAATGGACACAAAGTATAACATATTCAAAAAATGTTTAAACCTTTTAATTGTGCTTTTCAAAACATAACTAATACATAATTTACTAAAATATAATAGCAAAACCTAAATACAATTTAAACTGTATCTCTAACTATAACATATTTAGGTAAGAAACAATCATAAGTGCTATATTTGATCAAAAAGCCAATCATACTATAGTCAATTATATGTACTCCGTGACGACAACATGATGCCAATTTCAAAATAACCATTGTTAAATTATACTGTAAAATGGTTATACACTTGTGTATGTAACATCTACATGGAGGCTATAAATCTCAAACAAATCTGTTAAAGGTGGGCATGGCAGCTACCAGCAGCTGAAATATGTATTGTTTAAACTGTATTCATTCAGAGAAATTTGAAATGAAAGAGTCAAAAGGTTATCTTAGCATCATATTGTCTAGACATATCTTTAAAGTACTGCCATTATATTATTGAAGATACAAAGTGTCAGAATTTTTATAGCTTATTGGTCATCTGTCAATACATCTTAAGTTTTAAGTAGTTCTTAAAGGTTTATTTCAAAATAAAGGACTTCAAACTTGGATAAAATAAAACTTCGAATCATAACGCATTATAATATTAAATTAATTCACATACCTTGATATTAAAGGTGTTTAATTAAATTTTGAATGTTACACTGACTTGTGCAGAAAAGCATTTAAAGAGGCTCCCATTGCAAAAGGGTTAATCCTTCTAGTACGACTTACTTACAATGCATGTAGGTCACATAACTCTCATCAAATTTAATTCCAAAAATAAAATTAGTTCAATAAACTGTTTAAAATTTGACAGGAACTTTCCTACAGGCATTTATTTTCAGAAAAATAAAGTATTTAATTTTAAATTTGTTTCATTAATTTATTTATCTTTATTTCAAGCTTGTGTTTGTTGTGCCAAGAAAACCTTATATCAAATGCATGAACAGTGCTCAAGGCATATTTTCATTTCTGTGACATACCAGTAGTATGTACAAATGGCACAAGCTCATTTTTTGGAATAGTGAATTATATTTTTATTATAAACTAAATATCAAAACTAACTAAATTAGTTTATTTAGTTCTATTTTAAATACAAAAAAATATAAATATTACAACCTCTTTCACTAAGCCTAATTCACTTGTAATGTCCATGTATTCACACACCAATAATTTGGTAAATCTTGACTCTTATACTCATGATTCAACTTTCGTTTGTGAAAAATATTTATTTTGAGTTAATACTGCAATATAATGATTAAAATATACATTTAAATGGTATAGCGTATTTTTAGATGCTATAAAATATATTAGTCACGTACCTGCCATGTAGCTCTTTTAAAAAGTAAAATTTTCAAGGTACGCAACAAGAGACCAAATACCCTATGCTAACTGTAGCTTCAAACTAGTGTCAATTTTTATAATAAGCACCATCAACTTTCCTGTTTTAAAATAAAACACACCATATTTTGTTACATGCTTCAATTACCATCCTGTAAGTTGCCAAATGTGAGATACAGTACTTTGAATGAGGTGGTACTGAAATTGATATGGCTATGATTGGTTAAAATATTAAAACAGGTTAATCACGTCCAGATGCTATTTTATGAATACAGAAGACTAAATAAAGGTTAGATAGCAAAACAAGTTCTAAAGTACAAGGAAAAATTTTAAACAAATATTGAAAGAAAATGTTTTAGCTTTAGAGGATGCTTTTCACAGTCTAAAATATATATTGGATTTTTTTGTTACATTTTTCTTTGAACTTCGTTAAATAAGATAATTTACTAGAAACAGTTTAATATTATAGTATTATTTAAAAAGTAAAATCTGAAATGCAAGTTTAAATAAGTTCTCTAATTTTTTTCAATTAGTGCAATTTTGCCCTTGGAGCATGATAGAATGGGCATCGTGCTGAAAGGGATCAATACTTC